TGTCTTTGAAACTGCACGCCAGTGAATTTGTTGACTTGTTGTGTAGAGCCCTGTAAGCCTGTTGATTATTTGAATGAATTTGGCTGTTTGGGAGTTGAATTTCCTAGGTGAGGAAACAAAAAACCATAGAACTGTGTTTTGTGCTGTTGTATAAACAGCACAAAAACCATAAAACCTGTAAAATCTATAAAACCTATAAAACAATCTATAAAACAAAATTGAACAGACTATCTGCTATGTATCTGTGTGTTTCCATGTACTTGTGTTTCAATTTTGCCTTTAGAATAATTGACTTTTGATAATGTAACTGTTTGCAATAAATGTAATCTTGTATTATATTTTAAAAATTTTATTTTAAAGTAGTTCACAATATTTGATTACATTTACTATTCAAACACCAATCCCACTATCATTACACCTTCCTACCAACATATTTAGGGTGTTTCCATCCTGAACCCCATTCCCTGCCACAAAGTAGAACTGAAATAATATAACTTGTATTATTTTTGGTAAAGTAAAAACTATTTAAAAGCAAAGGGTTTGGTTACAAACAAGCCTGTTCCTAATGTTTTGATACTGGGCCTAACTACGTTTTTCTTGATTTTTTGGTGCCACACCAGCAGTGCTCAGGGCCTTCTACTGACTGCAGGGGTCACTCCCAGTGGTGTTCAGGGCCATAGGATGCTGGGTAGAGAGCCAGGGTAGGCCATATGCATGGCAAGCGCTATAGGCCCTGCACTGACTCCTGCCCCTGGGTATAAGTCCTTCCCTTGCTCCCTCTCTTTCAGCAGTAACTGTGACTGGGGTCACCACACCAGTTGTGGTGCTTGTACACTCACTGGTGGTGTTTGTCAGGAGTTGGCCACTTCAGGAGTATTTGCACACATGCTAGCAGAGGTCACTCTCTCAGATGTGGTGCTCACACACCATCTGGTAATAACACTAACAGATTCCCAGGGGGTTGTTTCTGGGCCCTCGAAGAGGCTCCTCTGCTTTTGAAGCATGGTGCTTATGCAGACCTGGCTCCAGTGCTCAGGAGCTCAGGCATACTCTGTCAAGGTGCCGGGGTCCCACCCAGCAGAGCTGCCAGGACAGCACTTGGTACAAGCAGGTGACATTTGGGATCAAACTCTTGGTTTCATACTTCCAAGCTTGCAGCTGCCACTGAGCCATTCCATACACCCTAAGTAGCTTTGCTCTGCCTATGTTTATACAGTTTATTCATTCATTATTCATTTAGTGTATATATAGGTTTTTGTTTGTTTTTTGGTTCACACCTGGCAGTGCACAGAGGTTACTCCTGGCTCTGTACTCAGGAATCACTCCTGGTGGTACTCAGGGGACCATACAGGATGCTGGGAAATAAAACCTGGGTCAGCCGTGTGCAAGGCAAACACCCTACCTGCTGTGCTATCACTCCAGCCCTAAGTGTATATATAGTTTTAGGGGTCCTACCCACCAGTAATTATTCCTGGTTTGGTGCTTCTGGCAGTTGTTAGGGGGTCAAATGTGCTCCTGGGCATTAAATCTGGGTTTCCTGACTGACTGCAAAGCACACACTCAGCCCACTGAACTAGCTCTCTGGCTCCCAGGACCTGCTTTAAATTCTGCCACTTTGCTGCCAACCTCAAAGGAAGAATCTATATATGTTATATACATGGGACTTGATTTAATGTCAAGAGATGCAAGCAGCTTTCTGGACCAAGGATTGAAAAAAGAGGGGTCTGCATAGTAACTCAGCAAGAAACTGTAACTCAGCATTAACTTTTATATCTGCATGCTGGAAAACCAGAGCAATAAGGGCTGTCAACGGAGACAGAAACAAAGAAAGATGTAGCATCTTGCTCAGCCAAGCAACAATGTAGCAGCCAGATGATGTAGCAGCCAAATGATTCAGGGAGGGGGAACTTTGACAACCTTGGCCTTGTCTGTGGCTCTGTGGACCACAAGTTTAAGTACAGAGGGGCTAGTGCCTGAAGATCTGTCACTGCATACGTGCAGAGCTGAGCTTGTGCAGAGTTGAGCTTGTACCTCTTTCACCATGCCTTTTAGAATCCCAACCTGGGAAGGTATTAGTGGACTAACTTTGCCAAAAATTTCTGTGAGCCAGAGGTAACATTTCTTTTTCTTTTTTTTTGGTGATGGTGGTGGTGGTGGTGGTGGGGGGCACATCTGGTGGATAACACCTGGCTTTGCACTCAGGAATTACTCCTGGTGGTATTTAGGAGGATATACGGGATGCCAAGGATTGAACCCAAGTTGGCTACATGCAAGGCAAATGCCTTACTTGTTGTACTATCTCTCCAGCCCCTTCTCCCTTTTCCTGACCCAGAAAAACTGAGTTCACAACTAGTTCTTAAGTGTTTACTTAATATCTACTATCTATAATTACAAAGAAACCATTTTTTTAAGCACTTATTTTTAAACATTTATTTTCTGTTTGGGCCACAGATAGAGGTGCTCATGGCTTGCTACTAGCTCTGCACTCACTTCTGCTGGGCTCAGGGAACAGGGATTGAACCCAGTCAGCCAAGTTGAAGGCAAATGCCATACCAGCTATACTATCACCCTGGCCCAGAAAACATAAATTTTTTTAATATGCCATGAAAGACAGATGATTGAAACCAGACCAGATTCTTATCTTGGGGAGCTGATAGCTCTGAGGGGATAAAAGTGTTCACAAACAAAGGTGAAACATGTATGTGTATGTGGTAGGCCATAGCTAGACCTGCTGAAAGAAAATCATGAATTCAATAGGTGCAGATAAAAGGAGTGTGCCCCAGTGACCACAGCACAGCACAAGCTTAAACATCTGGAACCTGGATATTGAATCTGGATCCATAGTAACAAAATGATTGCCTGGGTATAGGATAAGTGGTTTCTAAGTTACAGTTCTATGTTCTTCTAACACGTGTCACTCCACTCCTGTCTACTAAGGCCATACACTGCCAGCTCTCTGAGAAATGATACAAGGTATTTCCTGGGAGCTGTCTGGTTTACCTGCTCTCTGCCATTTATTTTCTGCTTCAGGATTAAACATTCACCCTGAAATGTTACCTCCTGTATAGCATTTCTCAAAGGCAGTGTGGCCTCGGGGGGCAGAATATGTGACAGTAGAGCATTACAAAGAATGTTAGGAATTATGGTTTATTTACTTATTTTTTTGCTTTCTGGGTCATACCTGGCAACGCACAGGCGTTACTCCTGGCTCGTGCACTCAGGAATTACTCCTGGCAGTGCTCCGGGGACCATATGGGATGCTGGGAATCGAACCTGGGTTCGCTACATGCAACGGAAACATCCTACTCGCGCGCTATTGCTCCAATCCTGGAATTATGGGTTTTAAGATTAATTCTAGTAGGAGATGACATTTAAACTGGGGCTTGGGAGATGTGTAAAATACTATAAGGTAAAGATGGAGAGAAGGGTATTACAGGAACATAAAACAATATGAGTGGTAAAATAGGGGCTGAAGGGTGGGCCAGTGGCCTGCAGAAAAGAGTAGGTGATACAGTGAAAGGTAAGCTGGAAAGGGAGGTGTATGTCAGGTAAAGAGAGTTGACATTTAATGTATTAGTAATAAAGAACCAGGGGATTTGGGAGGGGGGAGGTGCTTTTTTTGGTCATTAGGGGCTATATGCAGTGCTGAGAAAAGAACCTGGGTACACCACATGCAAGATCAGAGCCTTGCGTTCTGATTATCTCTCTAGTTGCCCCCCCCCCCCATCCCCACCCTACCCAGGAGTTCTTTTGAGCAGCTATTAATGTATGTGAAATGGTTGAGTAAGGGATACACATCTGGCAACACTATCATGAATGACACACTGGTGAGGAGATTAGGACATTCCCTTCAAATGCCCAAGCATGAGGTGAAGTAGTATGTAATTGAAGAATAAGACACAAATATAAGGGTTTATTGCAAAACTTTAGGGGTGCACCAGAAAGGGGAACCCTGTATGAGTCTGTGGTTTTGCATTTTGACAGGTTAGGAGCATCATATTTTGACTAGACAAAGAGAAGACAGAAAGAAGAAGACATGTAAGAGATCATGGACTGAAGTGTGTGGGGGACCTGCAGGTTCAAACGTGCCAAAGGGAGTTTGAAAAGAAGAGGAACTTGGAGAGTGGCGAATTAGTCACCTACTGAAGGGTTGAGTCAGTGAGTCGGATCTGTCACAAGCACGAACCTAATCACAGGTCCCAAGTACATGACAAACGTAATAAGGAAGGCAGATCTCGGAGCACCCTGGAAAATAACAAATATTTGCGAATATTGGTTATTTATAGCTCATGTTTGTTTTCACCGGCTGTGAAGTTCTCAGAATCAACCTTTATCCCAGGTGGACCTCGGAAACGAGCAGGGTATAGAAAAGTCAAAGGGCACAGCTGCGTGAAAAAGTCTGACACCACAGAGCCGGCTGGAGAACTTGGGGTGCCGGTGAAACTCACGAACTGGGCTGCAAAACGAAGTGGATGACAGCATCACCGTTTTATTTAATACATTTGACTACTGGCGGCGCGAGCGCTCACTACAATCATAAAAATGTTTCCCCAACGTGGGTAGGGCTGGGCCCGGGTCGGGGGGGGGGGGGGGGGTGAGGCTGGCAGGCAGGGCTGGGTCAAGATTGTAGGCGGGAGGCGGCGAGGAGCGGCACGCGACCCGCCGGGGACACAGGAGCCACGCTGACCGCGTCGTTCCCCGCTGGAAGCGGACTGCCGTCATCAGGAATACCCGAAGCATTGCTCATCGCCCGGGGACCACTCCCGAGTCGATTCCAAGTGGGCGTCGGCACCGCCGCCCCGGCAGGGGCCCTGAAGCGCAGAAATAGCCACCCGGGGGTGGGGCGGGGTGGGATGCAAGGTGGGGGGAGGCGCCTCCCGGAGCATACATTTCCCAGCCTGCAGAGCGGGACCCCAAGACTCGTTCCTGGCTTTGCAGCAGGGGATTGGCGGGCGTCCTCCCCGCCCCCGGGTGGCCCGAAACGGGGCTCGGGTGGGGAGATGTGCGGGGATTGGCCGGCGAGAGTTCGAATCCCTCCCACGGGTGGTGACGATGCACGGCGGGCTTGCTACTTAAGGCGTCGTGGCCTCGCCCGCCCCGCCTTCGCTCCCGCGCTAGAGAGAAACATGTATCGTTTCCGATCACAGCTCTTCACGGGGATTTCTGCTGCCGCCACCGCCCACTCTCACCCCCGCCGCTTCTCGCCTCTGTTGTTAGCCGAAGACTCGCCCCTCTGCCGCCCGCCGCACAGACGCACCAGTAAAAAGTGCAGCTCCATCGGCTGATCCTCGCTCAAGCTCCGAGTCCAGGCGGCGCCGGGCGTCCCACGATGCCGAAAAATAAGAAGCGGAACGCTCCCCACCGCGGCGGCGGCGGCGGCAGTGGCGGGGGCTCCGGGGCAGCTGCTGCGACGGCGGCCACAGCAGGTAGAAAAAGGGTATCCCCGCCAGTCCGCGGCATCCCGGTTGCCGGCCGGTCTGGCGGGTCTCGTGGCGCGAGGCACGGCGGGAGTCGTAGTTCATGCCCGGCGAGACTTTGGCTGGCGCGCGGTCTCCGGGCGAGGCTGTCAGAACTACAGTTCCCAGCGTGCCCCGGGCGCCGCGCTCGCGCGAGTTGGCGCTGGCATGCGAGCCTCATTCCTCCTGGGCGCCGGCTGTGGGGGCGGGGAGGGGGCGATGCGGGGCGGGCGGAGGTCCCCACGCTGTGTGTGTGTGTGTGTGTGTGTGTGTGTGTGTGTGTGTGTGTGTGTGTGTCGGTGTGTCGGTGTGTGTCGCGATCGCGAGTGGCATGAAGGTGGGCGGGAGAGGCGGTGCCCGCCGGGGGCGCTTGCTTGCTCTCCCGAGCTCCCGGGGGTTTGCGGGGTGACCCGAGAGATCCGAGCGTGGCGTGCGTGCGCGCTGCCCCTGGCAGCCTGACACTCCCTGGCACCGACCGGGGAGCACCGGGGAATGCCAAACGTCCGGCGGGTTGGGGCCCGCTCTTGCGTCACGCGGCTCTGGCCTGGCGCGGCGGGGCTGGGGTGACGCAGAGGCGCCTGGGTGGCTTTGCCTCCCGCCGCCTTTTTTTTTTTTCCACTGCGTCTCCCGCGTGTCCACGTGGCCCGGCGGAGTGGCTCAGAGCCACTGTCCTAGCCTAATGCTCCAGTGCTCTTGCCTCTCGGACCTGCACATGCCTTGAGGCCACCTCCACCACCCCGGGGTGGGTGGGGTGGGGTGCAGCTCCGCATTCCCCTTTGTGTCGCGTTCTACCGGGTCAGCCCGCGCTGGTGCTGGCGCTCAGGGTGCAGATGAGATCAATTTTAGGATCTTTTATTTTATTTTTCTGTTTTCTCCGTAACTGCAGTTTATCCTACGTGGGTTGGATGGTAGGCGGGTACTTAACTCAATTAATGACTGTCCACGATGAACCATATGGTTAGCACAAAAGCTCTGCAGGCGCAAAGTGCTACGAGAGACCACCCTCCACGAAAACGAATTGGGAACATGAGCTGGATAACATGACCTCAAGTCATAATGGTTGAGGTGATGGAGTTCAGTTCACTCTTAGAATATCCCCAAGTTTTTACCTCGAACCTCAGTTCTTAGGTATTCACACAGCTCATTGACCCTTACTTATCTTGATACCACCTTAATTTGTTTCGAGGTAGATCAGCCAGTTTTCGTGTTAGGGGTGATTGGAAACTGATATTTAAATAACTTTTCTTTTTTAACTAGGACTTAAAGCTGCAAGAAGACTTGTGGCTCTCTATTAAACATTTTAGCAATTAATAAAATGGATACTATCATTTTTCCCTTTGTATCTTTTCATCTCTTGCACTTTTCAGTGACCACAAATTGAAATTCTCATCAAGGTGTAAAATAGGTGGTTTCTGGTTTGGGTGGTAGTATCTGCTATGTGTGATTTCAGGACAGCTTTACCTATGTTGTCCTTTCCCTTTAGCTTTGCTGCACCCCTTCCTTGTTCCAAGGAAACATTTTAATTCTGTCTTCCAGAACCTTATTCATTTTATTCTTTAAGTTTAGTTTACCTTTTGTTGATGAAATAATGGAGAAGCAGGAAGTGGAGGTCATTCTGAGACAAAGATTCTATTGCTGGCCTCTTTGAATTTCAAACAGGCTTTTATACCCATCCGCCAACAACTTCCTTCTCCCCTGACCATGGGAGGTGCCTTTGATTTACCCAAAGGCTCATTCATGATCTTGCAACCACTTTATTGCTGCTGCTTTTTCGATTCTTTTTTGGTCGCAAAGGTATGTTTAAGCACTGAATTTTCGTGTATACAAGCAAGTGAGAAAATAATTCTTTAGTTTATAAAACTGCACTCTGAAAACCTTTTGAGGTTTACACTGGGGCTGAGTAACTTGCTTTCCTCTGAATGAGGAAGGGGAGGAAGGGCCACACCAACAGTGCTCAGAACTGACTCCTGACTCTGCTCGGGGATCACTCCTGGTGGGGCTCAGGGAACCATGTGGGGTGCCGGAATGGAAAATGGCCCAGTGCAAGGCAAGTGCCCTACCTGGTTTCTGTAAAACATTTTTAAAAATTATTTTTGGTGTTGGGCTACTCAAGGCAGTGCTCAAGACTAACTCCTGACTATGCACAACAACCATTTCCACCATTGCTTGGGGCACCCTGTGTGTTGGGATCCATAAGCAAATAAAACCCTTTACTATTGCTGTGGCCCCTGTAGAGCGTTTTAAAAAGACAAAACCCTTGTTTGTAAGGAAACTTCTAAGATAAGAATTTGATGGCGCATCTCCTCAATAATGGGACTTAGGATCACAGGATGGATGGATCTGACCTGTATGTCAGGCATTCATACCAGTTCTTCTAAATTTTAATAAATTTATTTTATTAAATTTTATTTACTTTTTGAGCTTGGGGTTTGGGGACCATGTCCAGTAGTGGCCAGGGCTTATTTCTGTTTTTGTGCTCAGGAATCACTCCTGGCCTTAGGGTGTGCTAGGGATCAAGCCCTACCACTATACTATCACTCTAGCCCCCCCAATTTTTTTTTTTCCCTACCTTGAGCTTTGATTGACTTTAGGGGTAATCGATATGTTCTCTAATCATTCCTTTACTTAAGTAACTTTGTGCTTTTAATTGTTGGATTTCTAAAGTAAATTTCGATATGCCAGACACAGTAACAACAAAAGTCTCCAATGGAGACGTTACTGGGCCCGCTCGAGCAAAGTAAATTTAGAAAAATTAAAAGCTAATCTGCTGATTTGCATATATGCGACACAATTATTTATTGTCCAACCTTCTTTTACCTGATAGGTGGCCAGCATCGAAATGTTCAACCTTTCAGTGATGAGGATGCATCGATTGAAACAATGAGTCATTGCAGTGGTTACAGTGATCCTTCCAGTTTTGCTGAAGATGGTATGGGTTTTGAATTTGCAATTTCAGATTGGTGGTTTGGGGTGGAGGAATCTTGTGGTTAAGATAAAGCTGTTAGTATTTCCTATGGGTTGTTTTTGCTACTTTAATTACAGTGGTTGTTTCTTTTCTTCCTTAGGCCCAGAAGTTCTTGATGAAGAAGGAACTCAAGAAGACTTGGAATACAAATTAAAGGGATTCATTGATCTGACTCTAGATAAGAGGTTGGAGACCTTGGCCTTTTCTGATTATTCTAATTAGCCTCCTTTAGATATGCATAAATTGTGTGTCTGATTCTAAAGCTTGATTTGTATGCTTCTCTTTGTTACTGTTTTATTCTTTTTTGGACTTCTGTTGTTTCCTTTGTTTTTAAATGTGGATAGGCACTTGCTAGAATTTAGCAGTTAACTCAGATTAGTCATTGTTTTAGCATAAAGCCACATAACTATTTGATTATAATGTAAACGGATTCACTAAATTTAAAATTAGACTTCAACTAGAAAGATAGCAAACTTTGTTTTAAAAAGCCTCATTCAAAATTTGCTACGAACATAAGGGGAAAAAAAGCAGTGCTAAATCGTATTCATATTTCACAATTGTTCTGAAAGTGACTTAAAATAAAAGGGGTCCAGTGTATGAGGGATAAGGCACTTGCTGCACACGTGGCTGATCCTCATTTGATCCCTGGCACCACATTGGTCCTGCAGACTGCCTGGAATAAGCCCTGAGCCCTGTCGGGTTTGTCTAACCCATGCCCCAAAAGCCCACAAAAAGGGTTGGGGAGATAGCTCAAAGGACTGGAGCCTGGTGGCCCCAAATTTCAGTCCCCAGAGTTCACACCGAATGTGTGTGAGGCCCTGGTGCCCCTCCTCCCTCCAAGGTGGGCAGGGATGTGGCAAATAAAAATCTAGAAATAACCAGAAAAGCCCAGAAGATGTTAATCATGAAGTTTAAAAATATTTTGTAGTCCTGGAAAAAAAATAATGTTTACTTACATATGTGTCTAGTATAGGAGAATATGTTCGTATGCATTGGAACCAAACACTAAGTAAATTTTAAAGTTGACATTGTAAAACAAATGAAAAACTGTTTTGCTATAAAGTGGCTTTTAGAACTTTTCATGTAATAAGGTAAATTGTAAAGGAAAATTACTCTTAAGAAATGGTTAGGACTTGATGACAATTAGATGTTAAAAATCCATAAGAAAATATCGAGAGGGAACTATGAGGTATTTCAGAAAGTCATTGACTGATAGTACATTCCAGCTTTATCTTTTGTTTTATTTTAAATAGTGCAAAAACAAGGACAGCAGCTCTTGAAGGCATTAAAAATGCACTGTCATCAAAAATGCTTTATGAATTTATTCTGGAAAGAAGAATGACTTTAACTGATAGCATTGAACGCTGCCTAAAGAAAGGTAATTTCCTGGTATTCAAGTCACAGGGAAAGAACTGAAAAGGGATTTGCTACCTTCTTGTTACTTGTGCTACTTGTACTGCTTGTTAATGGCAGTCAAAGATGTATTTACTGCTTCGTCTTTATACACCATATTCTTCAGTGGGAGGCCTGCCACTCAGAGGGGGAATGATGGAGGGTAGCTGACCCTGGGAGAAGCAGTGTTATGCATGAAACCTCATCATTAAACAGTTCTGTAACCACAGTTTACAGTTTACAGGAAAAAAAAAGGTACCTGTCAAGGAAGTGAGGTGGGAGGTGGGAAGGAATCTGGGGCCATGGTGGAGGGAAGTTGATATTCATCGTGGGTTCGTATTAGAAAATTGTATGCCTGAAACTCAACTATGAGTTAATTATGTAAATCATGGTGCCTCAGTCAAAAAATTTAAGAAGTACATCATATTTGGTGAAACTCAAAATTAGACTCCTGGGAGCTGGAGCGATAGTACAGCGAGTAGGGCATTTGCCTTGCATGCGGCCGACCTGGGTTCTATTCCCAGCTATGGTCCCCCAGCATGAGCCAGGAGGGCATCGCCGGGTGTGACCCAAAGAGAAAAAAAAAATTAAGACTCCTTAAAACTTACTTGTAAATTAAATATCTTGAGAGACTGGGGTGGATTGTCATGCTCTATTCACTCAGAAGCAATGGATGCCATTCCGTTATGTCAGGCTTGAAAACTTGGATTAGTTACCAACTAATTTCTTGTTAGAAAAACTATCATACTTCATTGTTCTAAGATATTAAAAGTATGACACTCATTTTTTTTCTTGTAATTAAAGCATCCGTAATACCTGTAGATGATAGCTTTTTCTAGGATCCCTTGGAACATGTGCTACAGAACTTTGTAATTGAGATTCTAGAATTCATATTGTTACAGTCACAGACTTTAAAGAATTACAAATAGAGATCTCTAAGATTGTCCATATTTCCAGACTAATATAGGCGTCAATTAAAAATATTTGGGTATGTCTGCTTATTATTTTGCTAGGGAAATCATCAATTTATTAATAAGATAATTTATAGCAGCCAAAATGGAGAAAGCACACATTTCTTTAAATTGACTGAAGTGAGCTGGAGTGATAGTACAATGATTAGGGTACTTACCTTGTATATGGCCGACCTGGGTTTGTTCCCCGGCAATCCTATGGTCCCCTGAACTTCCCAGGAGTTTTCCCTGAACTCTGAGCCAGGAATAAGTCCTGAGCCCTGTTGGGTGTTATGGTTGCCTTCCCCACTCCCCCACCCCCCACCACCATGCCATAAAGTTAAATAAACTTAATTTTGTTTTCTTGCTTGAGTTTTGGTGTGGGTGAGTATTTGGAAGCTTTTTTGTCTAAGCTCATACCAAGCAAATGCCTGGAAAATGTAAATTTTACATATATATAGGCTTATTTTTGGATTAACTTGTGGTGGTAGTTGGATGTTTCTCCTAGTTCTGCCTGGAGCGATCCCAGAGCACGGCTGGGTGAGGCCCAAAAATCAAAACAAATTTTATTCTAGGGCTGGTACATGGAGCACATGCTTTGCATGCAGGAGCTGTGAGCTCAATCCCTGGCACTTTGTGGTCTTCTGAGCACAGCACTGTGTACCCACCCGTTCCCAAATTAAAAATAAAGATTTTATTCCAGCTGGCATATTTTATACAATATTAGACAATAATTCTAAGTTCAAATTTGCCCAAACCCTTTGGTGTTATATATACAGTGCTCAAGAGTAAATTTACATGAACATTTACATTAGTGTATTTTCTATGGTTTCTAGGAGCCCCCTTTATTAATTTTTATTTTTATCTTTTTGGGACATTTCCAGCTGTCCTTGGGATTCTTCCCTTCTTAATGCCCAGGGGACTGGGCAGTACTGGTGCTTGAACCCGGCCCTCCCATTCCGCCCACTGAACTGACTCGCCCCCAAGAGCCCCTTTAATTTTATTTATTTATTCATTTATTCAGTTTTGCTATTTGGGCCACACCTGGCGATGCACAGGGATTACTCCTGGCTCTGCACTCAGGAATTACTCCTGGCGGTGCTCAGGGGACCATATGGGATGCTGGAAATTGAACCTGGGTCGGCCACGTGCAAGGCAAACACCCTCCTCGCTGTGCTGTCGCTCAGGTCCCGAGACCTTTAATTTTAACTTAGTTGAAGAACAGTTTAGTGAAGATGGAGACTTTGAAGGCTTAGTTTGTCTGTGGACTATGGATATCTGAAATACTTGGGAGAGAAATGCAAAGCTACTTGAGCCCGATTCTGTGAATGCAGAAATGACGGGGCTAGAAATTGTGATTTTGCTGGGATGCCCTGCCCTCCCTTCAGTGTGGTGATCACCTCTGTTTCAGAAGTGAGAAAACTGTTTGGGAATAAGTGAGTGGTTCGGAGTAGAGCTGGGCTGTGACTGAGGTCTCTTTCCAGAGTTGGAGCTCTTGAGCTTCACCAGCTTGGCAGCGCATTTCAAAACCTGGCATCATATAATGGGTTTCATAAATGCTTGGTGCTATTTTGAAACTGAACACATTTGGGAAATTGCTGCCTTAAGTCTACTGAAGATTTTTTGTAACGGTGTGTGTCTTGGCTTATTTGATAGGTAAGAACGATGAGCAGCGTGCCGCCGCAGCACTGGCGTCTGTTCTCTGTATTCAGCTGGGCCCTGGAATTGAAAGTGAAGAGGTTTTAAAAACTCTTGGACCAATCTTAAAGAAAATTATTTGTGATGGAACAGCCAGTATCCAGGCTAGGCAAACTGTAAGTATAAAAGTTACATTTTGGGGTCTGGAGGTGGATGACTCAAGGGGTTGGCGTATACATACAGGAGATCTTGGCTCCATCCCAAGCACTGCATGGTCCTCTGAGCTGAGCACTGAGCTGGGAGTAGCCTCGAAGCATTGTCAGATGTGGCACAGAAAAGTCACTGAAAAAGCTTTTCACACAAAAACAATAGGAAATAATATATGTATATATATTTTATATATATATATATTTATATTTAGGCGTGACTTTCAGGCATTAACATTTTCATTCTCACTTATTGTAATTTTACTTAGCAGAATGGCATGACAATTATTTAAAGTTTTCTGAGACCCCACAGAGTATCCCAAAGTGAGCAAATTTCTACATATTTGAATATCATGAAATTGAAGATCTTATATACCAATATGAAATACTGTGTTGCATTTCTTTCTTTTTTTTTTTTTTTGCTCACACCCGGCGATGCACAGGGTTTACTCCTGGCTCTGCACTCAGGAGTTATTTCTGGCAGTGCTCGGGACCATACGAGATGCTGGGAATCGAACCTGGGTCGGCCGCGTGCAAGGCAAATACCCTACCTGCTATACTATCTCTCCAGCCCCCTGTGTTGCATTTTAGATAGGGGGAGCAGACTGTATCAAATATGTATCAAATATTTTAGTAGCAGTACTTAGGGCAAACAGGGTTTTGCTGTGTTTGGCTTCTGATGGTGCCTTTAATGGTGTCTTTCTGATGTTTCTTTTTTTGTGGAATCAAATATGGAGTCATTTATGGTTGCATTTGTAGATTTGGGAATTCTGGAACTGACTTGTGAAATATTCTTAGGTTTTAGGGTTTGGAGAAGCATTTGCTCTCTTGTTTGATTTCTGTTGCTTGTAACATTTAACTTTAGGTTATGGGTATTTTGTTGATTTGGCGACCACTCCAGGCTGTGCTAGGGACTGGCAGTGTTGGGGGCAGGGCAGGGTGGGCTTTTTGGTGCCAGGGATCAAACCCAGGGCCTTGTATGTGCTAGGCCCTTGCTCTGTGACTTGAGCCCCACGTAATCCTGACCCTGGTTTTGGTGTTTTTATTTTGAGTACTAAGTGATTATAAATAACAGCATTAATACTGTTACTTCATACACGTAAATAAGGTCTTAGGTAGACTTGAAAAGTGAATCTGAATCTACAGGATATAAAGAATTTTACTTTGGGGGCATACCTGTCAGGGCTCAGGACTTACTCTTGGCTCTGCACTCTGGAATCATTTCTGGTGGTGCTCATGGCACCATATGGGTTCTGGGGATTAAACCCAGGTTGGCATAGGTGCAAGGCAAGCGTCCTACCCACAGTACTTTCACTCCAGCCCTAAAGAATTGAATCTTACATGAATTTGAATATCCTATTAAAATAACCAGTTCAAAACAACCAGTTCAGTTGAAAACTTGAATACTGATTATTTAAATTAGTTCTTCATCTTTAGCATTATTTAAAGAAAACAGTGCTTTTTTTTGTTCAGATAAATTAAAAAAAATCTGTTTCTTGGGGTTGGAGCTATAGCACAGTGGGGAGGGCATTTGCTTTGCATGTGGCCGACCTGGGTTCGATCCCCAGCATCCCACTTGGTCCCCCAAGTACCGCCAGGAGTATTTCTTGAGTGCAGAGCCAGGAATAACCCCTGAGCATCGCTGGGTGTGACTAAAAAAGCAAAAAGCAAAAAAAAAAAAAAATCTATTTCTCTTTGTTCCAGTCACTGTATGGATAAGCATGTTCTTTAGGCATTCGTTCTGCAGCTCTGCCCCATCTAGATCTTTGCATGTCTCAGCTCTTGTAGCTAAGTAGGGAAAGCCAAAAAGAGAGACTCACTCTAGTTTTGGGCTCCTCTTTTCATTTGCCGACTTTGGAGCCTGGGAATAGATTGTTTCCCCTGTAGGCAAAATAGGAATTTGGTGGTTTCCTAGAGATCTCTTCTTCCCTCTCGTCTTAACATAATGTCCAATAATTAACGCTTCTACTAAAATATCTAATGACACTTTTGTTGTTTTCCTTTTTTTTCTCTCCTTTTTGAGTAGTTTCACACACATCTTTATTAAGAAATTTATTTATTTTTGTTACTTTGAGGCCATACTTGGCTGTGCTTAGTGTTTGTTTCTTTCTGACTCTGTGCTCAGAATCACTCCTGGTGTTACTCAGGGGAGACTATGGGATGCCAGAGATCAATCCCAGGATGGTGTCATGCAGGGCGAGCACTTTAATCCATGTACTCTCTCTCTAACCCTAAGAAAGTTCAGTGGAATTTTTCTGAAGTTACCTTTTGAGTGTGACATAAGAACTTAGGTTAAAACACATTTCCTTTAACTCTTCATCTATATTCTTTATTTCCATACTATGGTTGGTACTTAATGTCTTATTTGGGGGCTTGGGGGAGCAGAATGAGTGCCACATAGGACAGTGCTCATATTTATGGTGGGGTCAAGGGCACTGTTATGGTGCCAGGGATTGAACCCAGGTTGGTCATAGGTGAGGCAAGTACCTTACCTATGATATTCTCTCTCTCCAGTCCCGAGAAAGTTTCCTTACTGAATTATAAAAGCAGGAAGGTGGAGAGTTAAGAAAATTTCAGACACTGATGACTTTGTTTTCTTTGTGTTTTTAGTGTGCCACATGCTTTGGTGTTTGCAGTTTTATTGCCACAGATGACATCACTGTAAGTAGAAGACCCTTGGCTGTACTGAATTGCATATTTCTCATTGAAGGCAGTCATCTTATTTCATGTTCTTGTATATCAGGAATTGTATTCAACTCTGGAGTGTTTGGAAAACATCTTCACCAAGTCCTATCTCAAAGAGAAAGACACTAATGTCATTTGCAGCACCCCTAATACAGTGCTTCATATCAGCTCGCTCCTTGCATGGACGTTATTACTGACCATATGCCCAATCAATGAGGTGAAGAAAAAGCTCGAAGTGTATGTATCCTCAGTTTCATATTTCATAAAAACATTTCTTGTGGCATACTGAGTTATGTTCACGTAGTAATGACAATCTGTTTTGTAGGCATTTCCACAAGCTTCCAAGCCTTCTCTCCTCCGATGACGTAAATATGAGAATAGCTGCCGGCGAATCTTTGGCTCTTCTGTTTGAATTGGCCAGAGGAATAGACAGTGTAAGTATCTGATGAGAGCAGAAGAAGGTGGCGTCACAGGGACCACATTTCTGTCATTGTCTGATAATTAGGTATTGGATGTTAACTTTGGAGCATGGCCAGTTGAGCACCAAAGAAATTGATTACCCTGCTCCTTGGCAGTGGTAATAACAATCCTTTTAAAAGGAATAGGCTAGGATGTCGATCAGCATTTGAGCACATGTCATCATACTTCATTCTTCCTGTCTGTAGAACTGAAGGTTCTAGACTCAGCAGCATTCACGAAGAGAGCTGGGTATAGTATGGAGTCTCTTTAGATTCCTGGGATATGAGACACATTTACTATCACTATCACCCCATTGTTCTTCCATTTGCTCGAGTGGGCCCAATAACGTCTCCATTCGTCCCTGTCACGTGCTAGTGTAGCTCAGTGACATATTGGGGGGTTCCTTCAGGATCAAGGGAATGAGGACCATTTATTGTTAACTGTTTTTGACATATCGAGTACACCACGGTTAGCTTGTCAGGCTCTGCCGTGCGGGCGGGATACTTGGTAGCTTTTCGGGCTCTCCGAGACGGATGGAGGCTTTTGGGGCAGCCTCTAATCACCTTTACAGGTGTTGTTCCTAGTCAGGCACATAGGCGGTTATGTATATGTCCACAATGTAATAATCGAGAAGAGTTTCCTCAAGAAATGAGACACATTAACTTTAACAAAACTCAGGCCTGATCCTTGTCAGAGGATTGGAGTCATAGGTGCCTTGTCACTGTTATTTAATGTCCCGCTGGACATAGCCCCTTGGACATGCGCTCTGCGGTTCTTTCCCTGTCCACTGTTCACCTGTGGGTGCTTGATAGCTTGATAGCTTGCTCTTGCTTTTGCCAGAACACCCAGGCTTTCCAATTTGCCTGAAACTGTACCCTATTTAAATTGTAAAATCTAGGCTTGCAGGCAGCCTCTCGTTTCAGGCTAATTGAGATATGTGGTCACCCTTGTTTGTGACCTCGTACTGCATTTTAATTTAAGAAGAAATACTATATTTCCAGAGTAAAATCTTTTGTTGAATTATTCAGGGGTTGGGAATTTAGTTGAGCCAGAGAGCCTTGGGCAAGTACCAAGTGTGCGCGGCTTTGGGTTTGATCCCTGGTGCTGCAAGAAAAGTGGAAAAATTATTTAGCATTAATTCTACATGGGTTAATGAATGTTCTGGGTTGCCCCATTTCTTCACGTTCCATTCTTGGACTGTTTAAAAATGTTTAGGATTTAAAAAACTTGAATCCACGAAAGTAAGTTCATGCTGTCAATAGCAAATGATTCTCAGATTGGATTCATATGTAGGAATCAGCTTTATTATATTGAGCTAGTTATCGTGTCCATAGCATTTAAGGCACAGAAACCGGATGTACTAGTTTTTCTTTCCTTTTTTTTATTTTTCTTTTTTGGCGAATGCTCAGGGGTTGCTCCTGGCTCATCCACTCAGGAATCACTCCTGGCGGTGTTTGGGGGACCATATGGGGTGCTGGGAATCAAACCCAGGTCGGCAGCGTGCAAGGCAAACGCCCTATTTGCTGTGCTATCGCTCCAGCCCCGGATATCCAAGTTTTTCATCTTCCGTTCCTTAAGCTGGCCGGAAATGATCATAACTTTTCTTTGTATTCTTTGAAGAGCAAGAGATCTGGAGAGAGAGGTCAGAGGTCAGCGGTATATACCTGCCATTGCATTCCCCTCCTCAAACACCACTGCATGGTCCTGGTGACCCCAGGCTTACTCCTCAGTGGGCTCTAACGTTGATTCCTCTACTTAGTTGGCCAAGTATTGACTGATAGAACTCCATCCCCCAAGGAAGTAATAGTGCATCTAAAATTATGCTGACTTTATTAGGTTTGTGTATTATACATATTAAAACCATATCTTCTGTTCTCTGGGTTAATACTGAGGTAGCCTAGAGAACCTACCCAGATGTTTTACATCATGTAAGTCCTTGTTCAAGGACAAAGAAAAGCTGGATTATGAACAAACATGGTATTTTGTGAAGTAAAGGATTGTCTGTTGCTGTGGTGTTACGTACAGTGTACTCAAAAGATGTTCTACACCACTGATCTATTCTCCTTGATCCCTCACATTTATACTCCTGGAGAGTGACTGATTATATATGCACTTTGAAGAAGAGCAGGAGCAGAGAGGCTTATTATTATTATTATTATTTTTTTGCGATCTCTTGCTTTTTGGGTTGTGCTCTGGAACTGTGCCTGATTTGGTGCTCAGGGGTTACACTGGTGGTACTAGGGTTGAGCTGGGGCGTGTGCATGTGCTCATTCCTTGGAGCTCTCTACAGCAGGGGCTTACTCTTCCTTTTTTTTTTTATTTTAATTTTCCTTTTCTTATTGAATCACAGTGAGATAGACCCTTACAAAGTTGTGCATGATAGATTTGAGTTCCAATACCCATCCCTCCACCAGTGTATATTTCCCGGCACCAGTGTCTCCAGGTTCCCTGTTAGCCACCCCCTGCCTGCCTGTATGGCAGGCGCTTCTCTCTCTCTCTCTCTCTCTCTCTCTCTCTCTCTCTCTCTCTCTCTCTCTCTCCTTAATAGAGCAAGCTACATGATAATTGCCACTGATGACACCATTTTGTTTGGGCACCACAGTCTGTGGTTCAGTGCTTGTACCTGGTGGCTCAGCAGTTGCTCTTGGCAGGCTCGGTAACCATACCGGATTCCAGGGATTGAACCTGGCTTGGCCCATGTGCAAGGCAAACACCTTACCCACTGTACTATCTCTCCAGCCCCCTCTAGTGACAAAAATTTAGAGGTTACAGGGGCTTTTTAAAGTGGGAACTCGAGAGTTTTACTTTTTGGCTTATGCATGTGTGTGCTGGTTTTGATCAGCTAGATAAATTGTTCATTTTTAATTTTTAAATTTATTTATTTAATTTTTGGTTACATCCGGTGATGCACAGTGGTTATTCCTGGCTCTGCACTCAGGAATTAACTCCTGGCGGTGCTCAGGGGACCATATGGGATGCTGGGAATCGAACCCAGGTTAGCCCTGTGCAAGAACAGACGCCCTACCTGCTGTGCTATCACTCCAGCCCCATGGTTGTTTTTTTAGTGGGTTCTTGTTTTAATTGCCATTCGTGGCAGTGCTCAGGGACCATGCAGTGTCAGGGGTCTAACCCAACGCCTCCACATGCAAAACATACACTCAGCCTTTTGAGCGATCTCCCTGATGCATTTCTTTTATTTCTTTTTTATTTTTTGTTTTATTTTTTTGCTTTTTGGGTCCCACCCGGCGATGCACAGGGGTTACTCCTGGCTCTGCACTCAGAAGTTACTCCTTGCGGTGCTCAGGGGACCATACGGGATGCTGGGAATCGAACCCGGGTTGGCCGCGTGCAAGGCAAACGCCCTACCCGCTGTGCTATCGCTCCAGTCCCTGATGCCTTTCTTTGAGTTTTTAATGTTTCTATGAACTGTAAATTAAGAAAAGGCTGGGGAGGTAGATGAGCTTCCCCCTCCTGCCCCAGATTTTTTTATTGAGTCGTTATGAGAAGATAGACCATTACAAAGTTGTTCATAATTAGGTTTGTCATACAGTGTCCTAATACCCATCCCTCCACCAGTGCACATTCCCCAGTTTCTCTTCCACCAACTCTCTCTCTCTCTCTCTCTCTCTCTCCCTCTCCTTCCCTCCCTCCCTCCCTCCCTCCCTCCCTCCCTCCCTCCCTCCCTTCCTCCCTTCCTCCCTTCCTCCCTCCCTCCCTCTCCCTCTCCCTCTCCCTCTCTTCCCCTCTCCCTATCTCCCTCCCTCTTCCTCTCCTTGAGTATTTGGTTTGCAGTATAGGTACTGAGAGGTTATCATGTATATCCCTTTACCTACTTTTTAACACTCAGTTCTTGTCTAGCATGATGATTCCCAACTATTATTTGTCATCCTGGTCCCTTCTGTATCTTACCTAAGCCTAAACAAGCTGTTTGAATGCAGGCACGCATCGCCCCCTGAGCACCATGGGGTGTGATCCCTAGAACCATGGACTGCAGGACTGAACACTGCTTGAAAGACCAATATATATATATATATATATATATATATATATATATATGTAAAATAAAAAGAGCCCAAAGGAAGAGATTTCTTCCCCTTTTTTGCCAGTGGGGTCAGGGTCACAGGACTTCTGGTTCTGCACTCAGGAATCACTCCTGGCAGGGCTCAGGGGACTCTCTGGTGCTGGGGGAAGTCAAACCCAGGTCAGCCTCATGCAACGCAAGTACTCCACCAACTGTACTGTTGCTTTGGTTCCAGGATAAAGAGATTTCTTAAAGAATTTGACTACTTAAACTATAACACAGAAGCCCATTATCAACCTCAGGGTGATAGCAAATAATAAGACTTCTTGTAACCCCTTATCTTAAATAATTCAGCCAAATTGTGCAGCTCATATAAATGCTTTATTGCTTATTTGGGACCGTGCCAGTGAGTTAGGAATTAGGTGCTTTCGACAGCATTCCTTGTAACTTTTAGAACTCGAATACATAACCCTGGCAGTATGTGCTCTGGTTGCTGGGGCAGCAGCTTTGGTATGTGTATCTGATTCGCCCTGGACTGCTTTGAAATTCTGGTCATGCCTTGCATTCAGAAATGCAAGGGCGTGATGGATATTTGTTGAATACTTCTGGATAGACTTGGAAGGGGAATGTTAATTGTTTAGTGCTGATAGATTATCTTGCAACCAAAGATTCTGGGTCGAATTTTTGCCTCCTGTGAATGCTGTGTGTCCATGTGCCTGGGGGCCCCAACAGCGTGAGGATTTGTTATTACTTCAGACAGTACCCTTGGATATTTTCCAAGGTGGAGTGTCCCTGAGGGGGACAGGGTGGAGCCGTAAAATCCTCAGGCAAATTGTTTTTTTCCTGGCAGGACTTTTTCTATGAGGACATGGAATCCCTGACTCAGATGCTGCGGGCTTTGTCTACAGATGGAAATAAGCACCGAGCCAAGGTGGACAAGAGAAAGCAGCGGTCGGTGTTCAGGGACATCCTGCGGGCAGTGGAGGTAGGCCTCAACATCAGGCGAATGCACGTGGGGTCATTCTCCAGACCCAGCTGAGCACCGGAGCAGAGCAGTATCCTCATTTGAAGATGGAGGAGGATTTTAATGACATAAGTGAAAGTATAGCTTTATAGTAATAAAAAATCTGAGTGAGGAGCTAGAGAGAGGTTTGAACAGGTCAAGTGTGAGCTTTGATGGTAGGAGATGCAGGTTCCGTCCCCAGTACGGCACACGACAATCCCTGAGCACTGCTGGTTGTGGCCCTCAAAGAGGAAGCCAATGGGAAGGGTATCTGACTCACAGGGATAGCCTTTATGTGGGGACCCTGGGTTCTGAGTTCTGGCAGCGTATGGCTTCTGAGCACTGACTGGGAGTTCCTGTCCTCTATGCCAGCATTGCCTGGAGACCCTGAGAACAATGACAAGAGATGTATTCCACGGGTGTACTTATCCTTATTTCAGCACAGCGTATTTGTGAGGCTCTTCCTACCTCTTGAATACCTTGAAGCAAAAAATGTCTGTACTCTGCCTAGGAAGGCGAATGCTTAACTGAAATAACAGAACCCGGTGTTTGAATACGGCTCCCTAATATCAGTCGTTGATCCTCAAATCCTTCCTGCTGTCCTCAGATTTGTCTTAAGCTAAGTAGCAAATCAGTTTAAAAACCTGCAGAGATTAAAATGAATGGTTAAAATGAACTGTAGAACATGGGCGATCTTACTGCAAGAAATCCCAACTTTCACACTTTCACTTTTGGGCCACACCTGGCATTGCTCAGGGCTTACTCCTGGCTCTGTGCTCAGGGAAATCCTGGGGAACTCAAGAGAGGCAAATCTCTGACCCCTTTCCACTTTTTGGTTAATCAGATCTTAGAAGAAATATTTTAGACTGGGAGATGACCCAGTGGGGCTGGAGCACAGCCTTGTCTATGGGCACGGTCCCCCAGGCCCTGCTGAATATGCTTCACCTCTCCTGCCAGGAAGGAGATACATAGGCTAGAAAGGGTACATTTCTCATTATTGCGAATAAATTTCAAGAATATCACCACAGAATGTTTTTATATCTATCAGAATTTACAACAGGGAGAGAAGAAGATGGTTGAAGGGTAGGGCACATACCTGCTTAAATGCAACTCACCCGAGTTCGATCTCTGGCATTGCATATGGTTCTTTGAACCTCACCAGGTGTGATCCCTGAGCCTAGAATTAACCTTTAGCACTTTCAGCTATAACCCCAAAATAAAACCAAAAATCCCAAAATTTAGAAGCATCAATTTCAGCCCACTTGTTGCCAGCATACCACTTACTTTCAACCAAAATTCATGATTTTAAGGTAATACTCTTTAAATCTGCTACCATTTGATTATTAGGTGCTTTGACATACAATTAATGTCTTTTTTTTGTCTTAGCACTGCACTATAGCATTAGTTTTGAAGCATGATTGAAACGCAGTTATGTGCATATACTCTATTAACCTCACTGCTGAAAGTCTAGTTCCACAGTTCCAGAGAGATGTAGGGAACTTGCTTTTCATGTGGCAGAGCTGGATTTGATCCCCGGCATCCTGTATTGCCCCTAGAGCCCGGCAGTAGTGATTTGTGAGTGCAGAGCCAAGAGTAATCCCTGAGCACTGTGGGGGTGTGGCCCGCCCCAAGACAAAGACAAAAAACCACAATGCAAGTCCAGTTTTATCTTTCATTACACATTTGTTCCCATTTATTTCCCTTCTCCTTTCCCTTCTAGCAACCATTAATTGTTCTCACAGTCCAAATGTTTGTTTTTGTTTAATTCAGTCCATCCATCTGTTTTGACATAGCACATTGAGTGTAGCCGTGTAGCACGTTGGTCTTTCTCTCTGGCTTCACTGGTGTCTGCATGATGCCCCTGGGTTCCACTGTGGTGATTGCATTTCCTTCTCACATTCTCATGTTCTTTCAGAAGAATAGACTTTGTCACCGCTGTGAGATGAGGATCCAGTGGTTCTGATTTGCATCTGTCTCCCTTTTAACTGGATGGCATCTTTTCCTGTGTCTCTTGGCCATCTCTCTGTCTTTGGGTAGAATTCTACAGTTCAAAATTCTCGGCCCATTTTTTTCTCATCAGGACGTTAGACTTGATTTTCTGACTTCACTTCCATTATCTGTCTTAAGCAATAATAAGATCTTTAGGAAAAACTGTGAATGAAGGTTTAAGAGCAATACTTAGCAAAATTATAGTTTGAACTAACTGTGCAACTGGGCCACATGCTGCAGCAGGTCACGTGACAGCATCGCCAGTTGAAATTGATTTGGCCCTTGGTGACCTTTGCAAGAACAGTGATGTACAGGGCTGGGAGAAAATCCCAGGGGTAGTGGACTGGGAAGTGAAGTAGATAGGGGTGCGTTTTGACTTTTTCTCAAATGTGGCGATTGTGGGAAGGAGAAAATAATTGGTCCCTAGATGATGAGAGGGTTTGTTATTTTGTCTTGTTTCTCGCTGTACTGAGACTGTTCATAAAAGGAACCAATGAGAAAGGCTTGCTTGAAAACATACCTAATGAGTTATGTTTAGCTTTGAATGGAGAAAGGGAGGGTTTGAATCTGATTTAGGAAAGAGAAGAAAGCAAGGATACATGAGTTCGTTCCTGGTATCTTAGGTAGGTTTTTGGAAATTAGGATTGCTAAAATAATCTTTTTTTTTCTTTTTTTTTTTTTTTTTTTTGCACTGTTGTAACAGACTTGGCTTTGTCTTTCATGGAAGTGCTCTGTCTCAAACTTCTGATAAGCTTATGGTATTGGGATAGATCGCTTCGAGGTATAGATTCGTTTGTAGGCAAGGAAACTCACTTAGGTTGAAGTATTGGCTCAAACCCCAGACTACTGAGTGGCATATCCACCAAAGCCAAAAGTTTATGTTTTTCTACAATCATATATATTGGATCATATATGTGGCTGAAGATAGAAAAGGAATCTGATAGATGAAGAAGGCAAGACAATTGCTGTGATGTCACCTGTTAAGTTCTTTCATTGAAGTTTGTTTTTCCCCCAGTTATCCCCTACCATTGTGGATGATTTATAGTCATGTGAAGAATCCTATCTTGTATTTACTGTGATCTGTATTCCCATTGCACTCATTGTTTCCCCACACAAACCCCCAGCCCCAACATGGTTACTCCTTAGAAACTGTCTTGGCAGAATTGCTTCTCTAAAATGTTTTTTTGTTTTAGTCTTTAATTTTATTGTAGTTGAGGTGACACGGTTAGAATACTATCAGCATTCATGCTTCAGGTATAAAAAAATTACTGTTGGGGTCAGAGCAATAGCACAGCAGGTAGGGCACTTACCTTGCATGCAACTGCTCCAGGTTTGATCCCTGACGTCCCATATGGTTCCACAAGCACCGCCAGAAGTAATTCCTGAATGCTGAGCCAGGAGTAACCTGAGCATTGCCAGGTGTAACCCTTTCCCCACCCCCCAAAATAAAGAATGAACAAAAAATATTGTTGCTGCACCTCCACCCATCACCACAGCGCTAGAGACCCTGGCTACACTCTCTGTATGCCTCTTCTCTTTCAAGAAATACTTGTTTTGGAGTAGCACCAGTGTGATTTTATACTTGTGCTGTTCCATCATGCGACCATGGAGTGCCAAGATCCCACTACTGTACCCCACAGTCATTCTCTTTTCCACATCCCCAGCTCTGAAATCTTGGACATAGATGCTGCCTCTTTTTTTTTGGTGGAGGTTGGGGGAGGGAGGATTTCAGCTGTGCTCAGGGGACCATATGTGGTGCTGCTTGCTTGGGTGGGCTACACGTGTGCTGAGCATGCACCCTAACTCACTGGCCTGTCATTCCTGCCCTTATTTGTTCATAAGCTACCCTGACCCAGAAGCCTTCTACTTGCTGGTTCTTTCCCCTACGTGGTGGGTGTGTTAATTCCATTTGCCTTCACTTTCTTTCCCAGGCCCCTGCTTCTTCCGCTTGTTCCACAGTTGCTTTGCTTGTGAGGTGAAAATTTGCCCTAATAACCTTCCTGCCTTCCCACCAATCCTAGATGTCTAAAATACCTGGCTTGCTTTTGGTGGGTGGGACTGGGGAGTGATTTTTGGATCACATCCACTGGTGCTCAGGAGTTACTCCTGACTCTGATCTCAGGAATCACTCCTGGCGGTGCTCAGGGGACCCTATGGGGTGCTGGAGATCGAACCCCAGTGGGCCCTGAGCAAGGCAAGCTCCTGAACTGCTCTACTACTGGTCTGACCCTCTTTTTTTATTATTTTTTTAACTGACACCTAAAGCCATTCACCACAGTGTTGCTTTGCCAGTAATATGTATCCAAAATTTGTATGCCTTCTAGTGAACCACAACTATATATAAAAGTATATATACTCTTTGTTTTATACCGAGTAGTTTTTTCACAGCTCAGGTATGAGCTATAAGTATAAACCACATTGATTACATATCTCAACTTGTATGTCAGTTTAGAAATTTGTGTACCTGTAGGAGCTCCTTAGTCTATTTCAAATCTCTTTATAATTCTATTTCTTCTATTACTAGGAACGGGATTTTCCAACAGAAACAGTTAAATTTGGTCCTGAAAGAATGTATATTGATTGCTGGGTCAAAAAACATACATATGACACCTTTAAGGAGGTTCTTGGATCAGGGATGCAATACCACTTGCAGGTAAGTGGGTGATTTTTGTGGGTTTTTTTTTTTTTTCTTTTTGGGTCACACCTGGTTCATGTACTCAGTAATTACTCCTGGCAGTGCTTGGGGGACCTAATGGGATGCTGGGAATCAGACCCGGGTTGGGCTGTGTGCAAGGCAAACACCCTACCCGCTGTGCTATCACTTCAGCTCCTTAATTGGCTTTTGAGTTCATTGGATATATAGAATGATTTCAATGTGATAGAAATAAGTAGATTTAATTTTTGAAAGCAAAATTGAATGTAAAAGTTGACTTAATTTTGGCTTGGGGGTCACACCTGGTGGTCCTCAGGGGTTACTCCTGGCCCTGCATTCAGGTGTTATTCCTGGCAGGGCTAGGAGACCATATGGGATGCATGCAAGGCAAAGCACCCTACCGCGCTATACTATGTCCTTTGATTTTATTTTGTGTTCTAGAAGTCTTACTGATCTTTTTTATGAAAACGGTATGATAGAACTTTTCTTGGATTCAAGGCATCGGGGAACATTTTATCTCATGAAAAGCGAAGTGGCGGGCAGAGAGCTCCAAGGGCTGGAGCCTGTGCTTTGCCTGTCGGCGCTGAGTTCCATCCCCAGCTTCTGTGCCACGTGATTCCCTGAGCTGCACCCCGTGTGGTCAAAATGAAAAATTGAAGTGGAAAATAGGAGATTAAGTCCCTAGTTATGGGATCCATATAACATCCGTTAGAGTTCACCTTGTGGAAAGAATTTTAAAAGCAGCTGCTTTTACTGAGTCCTTTTTCCTTTTCCTTTCCCTCAAGTCAAATGAATTCCTTCGCAATGTATTTGAACTTGGACCTCCCGTGATGCTTGATGCTGCAACACTTAAAACAATGAAGATTTCTCGATTTGAAAGGGTAGGTGTGTTAGAGCAAAGAGGAGCCTAGGCTTTGATTCTGCCAGGCGACTGGGTCTTTAGCTGTGTCTGGTTTTCATGCCTTGTGATGTTTTCAGGCAGAGTAGCTGGCGATGAAGTATATGTGTTAATGAAAAACTTTACCTCTTTATCTTAAGCTGTTTTCACATGGTTTCCATTTATTCTGTCATTTTGTGTTTAAACTTTGATATTTTGGGGCCCTGTAAATAATACTTTTATAAACATTTGTGTACCTCAAAAAATTATTTTTTGAATACCTTATTAGGAATAGGAGAGGTAGCATAGGGATTTAGATTTTTGCATTGCACATGACAGAGCCCAGATAGATCCTGGTACCCATATGGTCCCCTGTGTACTAACTAAGCACAGTCATTGTGGCCCAAAAACAAAACAAAATAATAAGCCAAGAGTACTTTTTTATGTCATTGAGATATACCTCAGAGTGGAGATACTAGGTTGTGTGGTCATTCATGTTTAAATTTTAGGCAGCAGGGCTGGAGATAGCACAAAGTGATGAGTAGAGGCTTTGCACACAGTAGACCTGGGTCCGGTCCTTACCAGCTCAAGTCCCTGAGTTGGGAGTAATTTCCCCAACACAACTTAGTGACTTAGTGTGGTGCAAGAGAAGAAGAAGAACAACAAAAAAACCCACAGCAGAATAGCCAAACCAAAACCAGATAAAATTTTAGCGTCCACCAAGAGTGGCTGCTGTACTTTGTGAGTTTAGAAACATTTGTTATTGTCTGTCCTTTTCATGTAAGTGAGTATGGCGTGTTCAATTATATAATTGTAGAATATAGTGAATCATTTTTATGACTTAGTAATTGACGGGTATTAAAATTTCACTACCTTTATGGTAATAATTAATAAAACATTAATATTTTGGCATATTCTTTTGAGTCTTCTTGAAAAAGATTCTTGGGAACACAGGGCTAGATGATAATTTTGGTCTGTATTGCCAAATTACTTCTAAAGTTGTTATAGTGATTTTTCATTCTTAATTGTTTTCAGTACTGAATGAAAGCATATAGCTTTTACAACATGTGTTTGAACGTTAGGTTTTATAGTTTAAAACTTTTTAAAATTAATGTTTATGAGTCTTTTATCAACTTGCCCCTTAATTTAATTGACAGTGTCACGGTTGAGCATCTTGTTCACATTTTGACCTGCCTTTTCCTTGAACTAGTTATTTGTGTTAATATTTTTCACGTGTGTGTGTGTTTAAGGTTTGGAGGACCATAGAGAGCAGTACCTTGGGGGCTACTTAGGTGCATTGCTCAGTGTCACTTCAACAGTGCTCAGAGAACCTTGTAGTACCAGGGCTCAAGCCCTACACCCCTGTATTCAGAGCACACACGTCAACCTTTGAGCTCTCTCCTCGGCCCCTCTCTGTAGTTTATAAGCATTTAAACTATTGATGGGGCCGGAGGGCTGGTTCAAGTGTTGGGCAGTAACCAGCATGAGTAGGGCCCTGTTTGATCCCTGGCGTCCATTCCTACCCACCTCCCTCCACTGGATATGGCCCTGTGCCCCGGGCCACTGCAGAGTATGGTCCCTAGAGTTCAGTTACTTTATTTCTTCCTTTATGCTTTATTTTTTGAAGGATGTCTAGTGGCTTACATGGATTTTTCTTTTTCATTTCAGCATTTGTATAATTCTGCAGCTTTCAAAGCCCGAACAAAAGCTCGAAGCAAATGCCGAGATAAGAGAGCAGATGTGGGAGAATTCTTTTAGGTTTTCTGCACTTGAAGACTACTTTCTCATTTCCAATTTTTATTTTATTTTTTTGTAACTTCTAATGTATTTAAACTCTAAAAACAATTTTTATCTTGGGTCAGCATAGGTAGTTTTTATAGCAGGGGTTATAATTTAATGTTAAACTATTGCAAATGGGGAGTTATGATGGCCGAATATTTGAATATTCTCTGTAAATATAATCAGTAAACATGAAAAAATTCTTTGTCATGTTTGGTCATTTTTCTATTTATGATAAATGCAAAATAGGGTATTTTCCTTAATTTCATTAGAAAACTATTAGCCACAGCCAGAGTTCTTACACTGTGGCTACAATGATAATAGATCTAATACTTGTTAAACTTAAGCTTTTTAACAAATGGTTTCCCAAACCAATTTGGGGAACTGGTTCAGGGAAAGCTCCTGTAATTTTCCATATAAATGGACCTAATACTTTTGTCACTGGGATCAACAGAAGGAATCATACCAGATCTTACAACTACAGTCCAACTATTGGGGGTTCATGCTGAATTAACACTCATCAGTTGACCATATTCGACCACAAGCGAAACACTAATTTTACTACTGTGTAAGACTTTGTGTGCTTTTCTTTGAAATAAAGATCTTTTCATACAGAAAGTGCTTCTTTTCTAATAGGGGGGAAATGTGTCCGAAGAATGTTCAAATAATGAAGCCAGGGTTAGTGGGTAGCCCTACAGATGGGCTGGAGGGGCCTGGGGAGGGGTCTGCTGGGGTCTGCTGAGGTGCCAGGGTCTGCCGAGGTCTGCTGCATCTGACTGGATGCATGCAAGGCAAATGCCCTACCTGCTGTACTATTTCCCCAGCCCCCAGGGAATGTTGTTTTGCTTGTAAGAGGCGCCTATGGCCAGGACCACATGGTATTTTTTTTTTTTAATTTTTATTAGTGAATCTTTAAAAATCTGGAGGCTGAAGACCTCCAGAACCAGCCATCACCATGCTGAGACCACTCTCCACACGCATGAAGGTACCGGCAGAGGAACAAAGGCATGCAGGTCCCGGGGCTGAGATCTCCAAGCCTGCTTAGATCGGGGCTGAGCATCCTCCATCCAGATCCTCCAAATTCCAGTAGGCAGGGGTCACACCCACCAGCTGGCCCCATGGGAAGCGCGTGACCACATTTGTGGCCACGCGACATCTTATTATGACATCTTATTATCTCATTCCTACTTTGGCAAACTGGCAGGCTATGGAATGTAACCTGCCCACACAGCAGAGTCTGGCAAACTCCCTGTGGCGTACCCAATATGCCAAATACCAGTAACAATGATGGGTCTCATTCTCCTAACCCTGAAAGAGCCTTGAATATGGCACTTTTTAAAAAATCTCAGGGCTAGGACGAAAGAGACGTTACTGGGGCCTGCTCGAGGCAATCGACGAACAACAGGATGGTTGTGATTGTGATTAGTGAATCACCATGAGGTACAGTTACAGACTTCGTGCTTGCATTTCAGTCATACAATGATCAAGTACCCATCCCTCCACCAGTGCCCATTTTCCACCACCAACGGTCCCAGAATCCCTCCCACCACCCCCACCCCGCCTCTGTGGCAGGGCATTCCCTTTTGCTCTCTCTCTTTTTGGGTATTTGCAATAGAGATATTAAGTGGCCATCAGTCTATAGTCTACTTTCAGGTGACGTCTACCATTCCGAGCGGGCCCTACTAGCACCCTATACTTGGTCTTTCTAGGCACAAACCCTGACAAGTAGCCCCTGGTCTCTGCTGTGTGTGACCCCAAAATAAATGAAGCCAGATGAGGGAGTGGTTTGGAAACATGAAAATGTGTGTGTGGGGGGAGGGGGCTGGGGGAGGAGTTGGGGATGCGGGTGGTGGATATGACAGCAATCTCTTTGGAATTCAGATAATGAGGGTTTTTTATTTTTTTTACCATGATGATCAGGAGTCCTACATGGTTGGTGACCTGGGGGTTTACAGATGGCCGTGCTGGTTTGATTGCTTAGCACATGGGGTAGTGCTGGGATTCAGCTGTGAGCTTCAGGCTTGCAAGGCAGGTACTTGGCCTCAAAAGAGTTGGTGATTTAAAATGTACTGCTTTTTGGTTTTGTTCATTTGGGGCCTATAACTGTTGGGTCTTGGGACTACCCCTGGCTCTGCTCAGGGATTGCCCCTAGTGATCCTTGGGACCATCTTGGGGGAGATTTTAGACTCCAGTTACATCATGCATACAAAGTATGCTTGGCTTAGCTCTCTGGAAGAGTTGCTACATTTTTGTGAGGTTTTTTTTTTTTTTTTTTTTGTGGGAGTTGGGGAGGCTGGAGCTGGAGCTGTCTCCCAAGCTGTGATCAAGGGGGACCTCCAGGGGTTGCCTTGCAATGTTTTCAGAACCATGTGCTGGGGATTGAGCCAGGGCCAGTCACACGTAAGAAGTTTACCTTGACCTTTTTGCTATCACTTTGGCCCCATTGAGATTTTTTTTTTTAACTTCATGAAAACTAATACCTTGGCAGTACCTTAAAATTTTTACTAAGCTTAATGTTAAAGCTATATAAACTACATTTAGTTTAGAATTGTACATTTGAGGATGGGGGTGGGTGGAATAGGTGGCAGGGTGCTTGCCTAGCACGTGACCAACTTAGGGTCTATCCCGAGCACTCCCAATATGGTCTTCCAGACCTCACCATGAAGGATCCTTGAGCACAGAGCCAGGAGTAAGTCCTGAGCACTGCTGGGTACAGTTCAGACACCTCTTTGCCCCACCTCAAAAGATGTACAGTATTTGATACTAATGTAAATAGTGATGAGTGGGGAAGCATATAAGAGAAGTACCAAAATTATCAAAGGTATTTTTCCCAAGCCAACGTTCCTCTCCATGGTTTTAATAACCGGATGACTGATGTTCCCTTAATTGCAAGTCATCGGCTGTCTTATGGGGTTCACTTGGCTGTTAAGAGAATAATTAATTAATTAATAATTAATTATAGTCTCAGAATATAGAACTTGAGTAGTTGAGTTTCCATCTCTATTTCTAGTGTGTCAGGACCATGCACATAGTGTTATCACCCAAAACTTCAGTATCATTGACTTACATATATATAATTTTTAAAGTATTTTTAAGGCTGAAGAAAAGACTACCCCATTTCCCCTTCCTCAGTCCTATCCTAGAATGAATTCTTAAGTTTTTCCCTAGCACCTTGGTTTCAAAATTCAGAGGAATGTACTTCTATGTAGCACTGTAGCACTGCCCTCCCTTTGTTCATTTATTTGCTTGAGCGAGCACTTGTAATGTTACTGTTTTTGGCATATGGAATAGGCACTGGGAACTTGCCAGGCTTCGCTGTGTGGGTGGGATACTCTCGGTAGCTTGCCGGGCTCTCCGAGAGGGGCGAAGGAATCGAACCCGGGTTGGCCGTGTGAAAGGCAAATGCCTTACCTGCTGTGCTATTGCTCCAGCCCATGCTTCTTTGTAGTATAGTTATTTCTTAGATGGCTTAGCTATCCTACTCCTATTGGATAGGTGAAGATTTCTGCCTTGAAACTTTTATGATTCTCCTTTTATTTAAAAAAAAAAAAGCAATTTAAGTGACCACATTTCCATGCTCATTCTTAAACTAGTTATGTTTGAGTTTCCATTCATTGTCCCCCAACTCCTTTCTTTCCCCTTTTTACATTTTTTTGGGGCAGGGGAGGGAACTATCTAGTGGTGCTCGGGTCTCCTAAGAAACTAAGCAATGCTGGGGATCAGGTCTGCCTCCCACATGGAAAGCCCATGTTCAGTTCGTTGAGCTCTCTCTTCGCCACCTGCTCTTGCATTCTCCAAGGGTCACATACAGCTGTGCTCATACACACTTGGTGGCAGTGTTAACCAGGGTCACACACTTGGTTGTGCTCGCCGGGGACTATGCCTGAGTCATAGGATCACAGTGGGATTGTGTTCGTGGTAGCACTGTGTGATGTGGGACATGCTGGAATCAGCCGTGGGGGGTCTCACACAGCCCCCAGAGAGCGCTTGTTTCAGTCTCACTCTCATGCCTGGGACAGCAGTTTCCTGAGACTTCATCCTGGGATTTTTCTTTCCCCCTGCCTTGTGTCTTGATTTTTTGTTCAAGTGAAACAGTTCTTCAGTAGCTCTGGAAATGATGACACAAGAGTTTAGTTGTGGGGGCTAGAGCAATAGCATTGCAGGTAGGGCGTTTGCCTTGCACGTGGTGGACCCGGGTTCGATTCCCAGCATCCCATATGGTCCCCTGAGCACCGCCAGGAATAATTCCTGAGTCCAGAGCCAGGAGTAACCCCTGTGCATTGCCGGGTATGACCCATAAAGGAAAAGAAAAAAGAGCTTAGTTGTAATGTGACTATATGTATGAGAGATAGTGTGACTTGATATGTAAAATTCTAGGTCACTGTCACTGTCACTGTCTTCCTGTTGTTCATCGATTTGCTCAAGCGGGCCCAGTAATGTCTCCATTGTGACACTTGTTACTGTGTTTGGCATATCGATTACGTCACGGGTAGTTTGCCAGGCTTTGCCATGTAGAAAATCAAATTATGGATTATGAGCACACTGCTCTATTCTAATCAAATGCCTGTGATATCTGAGATTTAGTTGTTCATTTGTTTGTTTGGTTTTCCTTCACTCTGAGAATTGCTATTTCTAATGCTGTAAAATGGTGTAGTATTGTGCTGTGGTGTGCTCTAGCATTCTGCAAAGTATTTTTAAACTCTTGATCATCCCCTTAATACATTGACACATTTTCTTTGATGTGGAACTCTATGAGAGATTAGGATTTTGGATTTTGCATCTGTATTTTTTTTCTCTTACTCATTTCTTTTTTATTTTTAGGACTGGGGATTTGGGCCACATCTGGCAGTGCTCAAGGCTTACTCTTGGGTTTGTGTACAGGGACCATTCCTGGAGGTACTTGGGACCATATGTAGTGCTGGGGATGGAAGCAGGTTCTGCCACATACAAGGCTATGTGCCTTATCTCTCTGACCCACTCATGGAGTTGTTTCTTATGGGAAGACTTTGCAACCAGAGCTTCAATTTTTCTATTGCTTTTAATTTTTGTGTTTTGCTCACATTAAATTGCCCATTTGTATTTAATTCTCTGAACTTTAATTCTCTTCACTTCATGCTTTGCTGCATCTTCTAGTTCTGACTCAGCCTCAGTTCTGCAGAGTCAGCATGGGTTTGCTGGGATGTGTAACAACTGTTACCTGCTCTGTAGTTAGTATAGAGATGGGAACATCGAAAGTACAAACGTGGTGTTGGTTTAAATCTTGTTTAGGGGACTGGAGTGATAGCACAGCGGGTAGGGCGTTTGCCTTACACGCAGCCAACATGGCCGACCCAGGTTCGATTCCCAGCATCCCATATGGTCCCCCGAGCACCGCCAGGAGTAATTCCTGAGTGCATGAGCCAGGAGTAACCCCTGAGCATTGCTGGGTGTGACCCCCCAAAAAATACTGTTTAGTATTGTTTTGATCATTTTTGTCAGCTGTTTTTTTTTTAGGGGGGGTGGATTGGTGGAGGACCTTCCAAGAAGTGCTCTTGAGGTCCCGTGGCAACATAATTCTCAGTCATCTGGGTGGGGCAGTTCAGTATTTGGGCCTCGGTATGTGGCGTTGCTTGGTGCCAAAGGTTCTGGGGACCATCAAGGTAATATTGGTGGTCGCAGGGGCCACCTGGTGATGGAGAGGTTTCCAGGGTGATACTAGGGCAACATTCTATTGTAGGCTCTGGCAGCAAGGTAGGCCCTCCTCAGCCCCTGATTTTTATTTTAATTCTCTTTGTGCCTGGAGTTTGGGGAGGAAGAGTGGAGAGCAAGTGTTAATCTGCACATTAAATTTATAGACGAATGCCTATTTATTCATGAAATTGATGGGCAATTGCAAGACAAGGACTGCTGGGAATGAGTTCCTTGAGAGAGAAACAGCGTGTGATACAGCTGCTCACGGCGTGGTTCCTGGTTCACCTTGCTGATTTGAAAGAATCGTTTATGGTCCTTCATTTAAAAAATTGGACTCAGCAACATTGAACTATCTCTCTGACCCCTGGAATTTAAACTTTAGTGTGGGCTATATGTTCAGATCTCAGCTCTATCACTTAGAATCTGGGTTATATAAGGTTTCTTAGCCTCCATTTCCTTCATCATTGAGGGGGAATTAATATTTAACATGGTTGTAAAATTAGAGGCTATTTTATTATTTTTCTCTAAAGATAGATTTTTTTTTTGGTAGTTCTGGGGAAGGATAGATCTTTTAGACAGTTCAGGTGGTTTCCTACCATTATATTTTAAAACTGGGCATGAGGCCAGAGAGCTATTTATAGAGTTGAACACGTTGCTTTACATGTGAGAGACCTGAGTTAGATCTCCCGCACTCTGCCCCGTATCCCCCCACCAATAGAGTTGGAGTAGCCCCCAAACTCTGCTTTATGTAGCTCCTAGATAAACCAAAGCAAAAAGCACAAATTGGGCATAATGGTGGAAAAAAGGTAACAAACACTTTTTTTTTTCAGAGATTTTTTTTCCCCCTAGCATCTGATATGCTTAATATATGAGTCTGCAGAACTGAGGAAACTGTTACAAATTATATTGTCTTCATGAATTGGTCCTCAGACATAGAGGAAGCTAAAGGAAATGACAGTCTTTTCTCTTAGAGTAAGGTGTAATCTGGACTGAATATAAACATACGAAAATTTTGTCAAGCAACTCCTTCCTTCCTTCCTTCCTTCCTTCCTTCCTTCCTTCCTTCCTTCCTTCCTTTTCTTCCTTCCTGTGCTTGGAGGCCCATATGTGATCCTCAGGGTTGAACCCGAGTCATCCATGTGCACCTTAAGTCCTGTGTTCTCTCTTTGGCCAAAGCAGCTGGTTTCTAATTGACATGTAACTTACTTTCAGGATGAATAATGCCCATTTAATCATGGCAGTGGAAAGAAGGATTTGACAGGATTGCACGTCAGTTTATCACCTAATCCTATCTCCTGCCAAAATAGTTCTCCCTTTCTGTTCGGGATTCCAGGATCAAGGGCTTTTGGGAATTCAATCTCCTCCTCATTGTAACATCTTTCATGTACACCAGAGGGCAGAAGCTCCTTGGAATTTCTGTGATGGAACCACCTAAGAGAAAGACTGACCTTCCTGGCAAAGGCAGATGGATAGAAACTCAGAGAATAAAGCATTTGAAGAAGAAAGGAAGCCGAGGAGACAAAAGGCATCCATTGACCCCAGCCCACGATTTCTCTTTTTGTTAGTCACAAGTCTTTGGGTGGGGAGCCTCTGGAAACCCTAAAAGTCCTTCAATCTGTTTTATCCCCTGAATTAGTGTCACCACCTTAGTCTGTCCTTGTCTATTTCTGTTCTCTGGTTACTCCAAAGCCCTGTGCAAGTTAGCTGTCAGGTGGCAGCTTGAACTGGCTCCAGGATATTTATATATGGGAGCATTCCATGGCAAAAGTCCTGGAAATGTGACAGCTGACAGTGGCCTCGGCCAAATAAGGACATTAGCTTCTATCCAATTAGAAACTCAGTAGTCCCCAGCTGAATCAGGAGAGGGTCTGATTTTTGGCCCCCCCTTTCCACATTATAGTTTCAATAGCACATTTACTAAAAACCTTAGACATTGCTTTTTTTTTTTTTAAAGTCAGCATTTGGGATCTTCCATTGCTTAGCTGAATTAAACTAAACATAGACCAACAGTTACAGGCTCAAGTCGATAGGCCTTGTGCTAAAGGAAGGCAGAGAAGAGCTACTGACTTGTACAAAGTTTTATTATAGTTGCTTCTAAAAAGCTGATTTTGTTTCCCTTGGCAACCAGGCAAGCGAAGCTCACATTTTTGTAAGTAATTTGCATGTTATTCCTCTCTACCAAGACCGAATTCTGACGAGTTGTGGACACATTCTATTGCATGTGCTTTGTGTGTGTGTGTGTGTGTGTGTGTGTATGTGTGTGTGTGTATGTGTGTGTGTGTTTTAACTTTTAATAGAAATGATTTAGACTTGGTTTTAAGAATTGTTTCCTGAATGTGAATTTCACTGACTCCGAAATGGAATTAAAGAACAAATTACCATGACTCACCTAATAAAGCTTCCCATTAGCTTTGAATTAAGCCTTATTACAACAATTTTGATCTTGTGACAGTAACACTGGCATGAATAACTTCTGTGATTTTGTACCAAGTATCTGTGGGGGAAAAAAATGAAAAAGCAAAGCTGTTTTTTGTAGAGAATTTTCTTCATTTGTTAGGCTATTTATAGGTAGACAAGGACTTCTGAACAGCACAAAATAATCAGCTATGCAGCATCAATCTAAACGAGGGAATAGGCATTTACTTACATTTTTCAGCTGCAGCTATTAGAAAGGAATATGACAAAGGATGCTGCTTGCCCGGTATTGCTTAGTGAGATATCAGTACCTGGGACTTGTGGGTTGCAGAATTTAGCAACCCTTTGGGCTCTCCAGTCCTGCTGATTGCTCCAAGATGCCCTCAGGAAGGAGATGCCAAAGATAGTAACAACCGGGAGTCTGACAGCTGCGGGCCAGGTTTTAGGTCTCGTGACTTGACTTGCTGTCATTTGCTGCTTCTTATGCTGCACTCAACTCAGTTTTACCTATTCTTTATTTTGCACATTGTACTGAACTGAAGGAAACATTGAAATATCTATTTCCATGTGCCTTCACCCTATGAGGAAGACTTTTTTTTTTTTTGCAGGACAATTTGTAGCTCACTGTAAGTTGTTTTCTTGGTGCTTTTGGATTTGATGCTTTGAGTCACCTTTTGAGTCAGTTAGCAAGACCGGTAATTTGGAGATTTTATTAGCTGCACTGTTCTTAAGTCAGTTTTTGTGGCTATGATTTTCTAGCAAGTCCTCTACTGTGTAAATGTTGACTAAGCCCCAGTATGAGATTTAAGTGATAGTAATTACATTACTAAAAAGGAAGCTAGGGCTCACGGATATTGTCAGTGATCCCAAAATGAACCTTGCATCAGTTACCATGCCTGAAATAGAAACTGTCTTTGGCAGGATCATCCTATGATGTGGCATTTATGAATTTTATTATGCATCAAATATTAGTTTTAGGATAAAAAAGCATAAAGAGATTATAACATGTATCATATAAATATTTCTCAAGAATACTTTAGAAATCTGTGGCCATACATTAGCTAATACTTCTGGGCCTTGGTTTTATTTTTTTCAATTTGTTTTAGTTTTTTGACTTCTTTGGGTCACATCTGGAGATGCTCAGGGGTTATTCCTGAGTACTCAGTAAATACTCCTGGCAGTGCTCTGGGGACCATATAGGATGCCAGGGATTGAATCTGGGTTGGCTTTGTGCAAGGCAAATGCCCTACCCATTGCATTATCGCTCCAGCCCCTAAGCCTTGGTTTTAAATGTACAAGGATAAGATTTGGCTGATTTTCGTTACTTCATGCTACTTCTTTTTGCAGGGATGTGGGTGGTACCTCAAGTCATTCACTTAGGAATGCTTATTGGCATATATCTAGAATTTAGTAACCAATACTTAATGTACTTTAGTAGCATCTTGCCATAAATACCTTAGGAAATGATATGTTCTTATTCATAAACATTTCAGAGTAACTGAAATTTTCTTTTTATATTTTAACCTTAAAAAGATTTGGCTAGTGATATCATTGTTTTCCTCTGCTAGGTTTGGAGGCATATTTTGATCTATTTATCCTATTTTTGTGATGCCAGGAATTGAAGCCAGTTCTCAGCTTGCAAAACATGTGCTCTATCATTGAACCACATTCCTGGCCCTTGAGAATACATTTTGTGCTAGGAACTTTTAGGCATCCACAGGAAATTGTTGGTTTATTGGGTTTTAATACTTTAGAGTGCAGTTTAGTTGTTTATGCAACGATAGATACCTTTGTTCAGCTCTTTTGTTGCAGCTCACAGGCTTTTTGTGGTTTTTGTTTTCTAATGTGATTTCTCCTATTATATATCTCTCCATCTGTTGAGTATTAAAGGAAAACTCTTAGATGTTAATGAGAAGAAAATACTGAGCAGCGACATTTTGTCAAGCTTAAGTCTATTGCATTTAAAGTTCAGATAGACAGCATGTGTAATTTTTGTTTTGTTTTTTGGTTGTGCAAGCGATCAAACCCAGGGTCTCATCCAGGCAGGGCATGTACTGTCCCACCGAACTACATGCACCACCCAATCAAGAGGATTTTTGCCCTGTTTTATTTCAGTCCATATGCTTATAACTTGCTGCCTCAAATGCTGTTAAAAATTCTGAGATTTAGATGCCTCATAAAATATTTTGGGTGTTCTGGAACTGGAGCGATATAGTACAGTGGGTAAGGCACTTGTCCCGCAAGTGGCCAACTTGGTTCTTTTTTCTGGCATCCTTGTGGTCCCCTGAGCACTTTGGTGAGTGATTCCTGAGTACAGAACCAGGAATATCCCCTGAGCATCATCATCAGTTGTCCAAAATCAAATCAAACACACAAAAAATATTTTAGGCGTTCCAACTTGATGTGGAGGCTTCAAACCTGGCACTGGACATCTGAAGATTAGAATTGGTGCCTACCCTAAAGAATTTTTAGGGCTCTTTCCATTTCTGGAGAAGCCTGCGCTCCCTCTGAGCGTGTTCCTCTCTTACTCTTCATTTCCCCACTTATCTGCTTACCCCTCTCTCTTCCTCTACCAAAACCTCCAAATAAAATCTGTTACTTCACTGCTTGTCTACTCCTGAAATTCCTTTCTGTGAGCGAGACAAGAACCCTAGAAACCCCGGGTAAGGCTTGGGACTAGTCTCTCCTTTCCTGCAAAGAGCAAATTCTCGCCCCAACTTGAGTCCGTGGCTCCCCGAGCAATCCGGTGGCGGGGATTAACTCCTGTGCCGAGAAGACCAAGCGAACTTCAGGTGTGGCTTGACGGCCACCTTGTGGGGCTGGCGGGGCTTAGGTCCGTGCCGAGCAGGGGCTCACTGAAGAATTTACCAGTCCTAGCCTACCCAGGGACTCTTGGGTGGCAGAGGCGAAGTGAGAGAGAGTGATCGTCTTTCTCTCCTCCCGACTCATGTGAGCCACCCGTGGGGTCCACCGACATCAGAACTTGGCGAGCCAGCCAGGAGGTAGCAGTGAAGAAATCTACGAGGAAGGAGGTAATCTGTGGAAAATCTGCTGTGAAGATGGTGATCGCAAAAACTCATCTTTCATTGCCAGGGCCCTACTAAACGAAGGCAGCCTGAGATTTCACCCCTTCTGTAGGCAGGTTCAGCGCCCCTTTGTCAGCATGAAGCAGCTCCAGAAGACGGAACTTCAACCATTCTCCCTTAAAGATTTAAGGTGGTGAAATCTCTAGGGGGGGGAGTATGATGTAGGCAGGTAGACAGGGAAAGGCCCTTGGCAATGAAATTTAGATAACAAAATTTTAGGAAGGAAACAAGACCTGACAAGCCCTTCAGCAGACCCAGAAGAAATTTGATCCCTCAGCGGGGAGCCATCAGACACATCTGCATCCTTTAATCCACTTTTGGTGAATCTGCCCAGAGAAGATGCCAGAGCTTCCAGACCAAGACCACCCCAAGAGCCTATAAAACCCCACCCAAAAGCCCATTCAAGGCTCTCTCC